AGAATTCTGGGACAGCTTGGGGTCAGGAAGGGTGAGGAGAGGCCCGTGGGCTCTAGCCCTGCTGGGATGGTGGCCTTGGGAAAGTCTTCTAGCCCCAGAGTTAGCATAGCACCTTACCCTGCAGAGGCTCAGGACTCGCAAGTCCCTTCTGGTCCCAGCAGCTCCCAGCAGCTCTGGTCCCAGTAGCTCCCGTTCCTGGCCCTTGCTGGTTGGCCACAGTCTGGAGGCTGACTTTTCTACTAGGTTTTGTGGGTGGGGGTCCGGCAGGCATCCAGCTGTCAGTGGACTTATGCAGTTGGTGTCGCTCTCTTTGGGACCCTATTTATGTGCCGACATAGAACCCTACCTAGGGTGCTTGAGCTGAGACCAAGAGAAATGTGTAGTAACTCACTTTACACAGATGAGGCTGCAGAGCCCCCAAACGGTGTGCGATGCACAATCACCATCACTGCCATCATCAGACAACATTTTACAAAATGCTTCCTGCCTTGTCTCCATTTATCCTGCCTGTTCTTCTCATTTTACAGGTAGAGAGGCTTAGGCTCAGAGAGGCTAAGCTACTTGCCCAGGGTCACACAGCAAGTTAGAAGCAGAGCTTAAAAAAAAAAAAAAAAAAAACAAGTAGAGCTAAGTTGCAAATCCAGGTCTTTAAGTATTTCTATGTTCCCTGGACTTTCCTAGAAATCCCCAGCGGTTCCCAAGCTGCCGTGGAAAAGGCTCGATTCCTCTGCAACACACAGAGCTGCTTACCAACCGAGTGATTCAATGAATAAATCAATGAACTGACTAATCCCATTCGTTCCTGTATTCATTCATCCCATGAGGGTTCATTGTGTGCCTTCAATGACCCTTTCCTGCACTAAGTCCTGTTGATACAGTGATGGTCCAGACGGAAACAGCCTCTTTTCTTGTTTGTTTTTGTTTTTGTTTTGAGACGGAGTTTCACTCTTGTTGCCCAGGTTAGAGTGCAGTGGCACGATCTCAGCTCACTGCAACCTCCGCCTCCGAGGTTCAAGCAATTCTCCTGCCTCAACCTCCCAAGTATCTGGGATTACAGGCACCTGCCACCACGCCTGGCTAATTTTTTGTATTTTTAGTAGAGATGGGGTTTCACCATGTTGGTCAGGCTGGTCTTGAACTCCTGACCTTGGGTGATCTGCTCACCTTGGCCTCCCAAAGTGCTGGGATTTACCGGCACGAGCCACCATGCCCAGCCTAGAAACAGCTTCTGTCCTAAGAGTGCAACTGGGTGGGACTTAACTCAGAGTCTTACAAATGGCATCTACCAGGTTGGGTCCAGTCTAATTTGTCCATGAAGCATCCATCATCCCTGCCTTCTAGGCATTTCTATTCTAGAAGAGATGATATACAGACATGCATGAATTTCCACACAGTAAACTCCTCATGAGTGAACCCATTCCAAGAGCGAGGCAGACCCCCTGGCAGGCTCCACCCTCAGCCACCAATCAATGCACTTTGGTGCCCCTGGGGCTGGTGGGCTACAAACCCTCTTTCCACCTCGGACACAGGCTGAGGCAGAAGCGAGCACAGAGCTCACCGTGCTTGCATTTTGTGCTTCTGTAAGTTTGTGTTTTGGAGGCCAGGCACAGTGGCTCACACCTGTAATCCCAGCACTTTGGGAGACTGAGGCAGGCAGATCACCTGAGGTCAGGAGTTTTAGATGAGCCTGGCCAACAGGGGGAAACCCTGTCTCTACTAAAAATACAAAAAAAGAAAAAAAAAGCCGGGCGTGGTGGTAGGCGCCTTAATCCCAGCTACTGTGGAGGCTGAGGCAGGAGAATCTCTTGAACCCAGGAGGCAGAGGTTGTAGGGAGCCGAGATCGGACTCCTGCACTCCAGCCTGGGCAACAGAGCAAGACAAAAAAAAAAAAAAAAAAAAAAAAAAAGATTGTGTTTTGTGCTTTGAAGGACAAAGTGGAAAAGGCATGGGTTTTGGTTTTGGTATAAAACCTGGATTTGAATCCTGGTTCCCACTGGCATACCTCAGAGACTGCTGGCAATCTGCTTAACCTCTCTCTGGAAATTAAAATACAACAGAAAACCACAAAGGCCGATTGACTCTTATACTCTTCCCTCTCAAAGGAAAAAAAAAACTCATCTCTCTTGTAATTTGAAAGCTAGAAAATCACCATGAAACTCTTGCAATGTGACCCAGCGGGAAGGTTTTCCTCGTGCCTCGGCTTCCCTGCCTCTCCCTCTCATTCACAGCACTGTGGGCCACCATAGAATAAGACCTGATTGTTAGCAACAAAGTGTTTTTTTGTTTTGTTTTTGAGATAAGAGTCTCACTCTATCGCCCAGGCTGGAGTGCACTGGTGCGATCTCGGCTCACTGCAACCTCCACCTCCCGGGTTCAAGCAATTCTCCTGCCTCAGCCTCCCAAGTAGCTTGGATTACAGGCAACCACCACCACACCCGGCTAATTTTTTGTGTTTTTAGTAGAGATGAGGTTTTACCATGTTGGCCAGGCTGGTTTCGAACACCTGACCTCAAGTGATATGCCCGCCTAGGCCTCCCAAAGTGCTAGAATTACAGGTGTGAACCACTGCGCCTGGCCTAACAAAGTGATTTTGTGTGCTTATTGTGGGAAGGACTCTTTCTGTGTCACTAAAAAATTGAGATGTAATTCATCTGTGCATATTTAAGCAGACTAGAAGACTCGCTCATAATGGTAGAATTCTAAAACTAGGTGTGACTCCGAGGTTGCTCCAGACCAACACTGAGATTTTGAGTGAAGAGGGGCGGTGAGCAACTCTGTGGCTTGGTCCACCACTTGCCTAGCCCCTGACGGGACCAGAGCCAAATCCATTTTCCATTTTCCAGTTTACACCTTGGTGCCTCCAACTATGAGTACTTTTTTTTTTTTGAGACTGAGTCTCACTCTGTTGTCCAGGCTGGAGTGCAGTGGCGTGATCTCAACTCACTGCAACCTCCACCTCCCAGGTTCAAGCGATTCTCCTGCCTCAGCCTCCTGAGTAGCTAGGATTGCAGGCACCCACCACCACGCCCAGCTAATTTTTGTATTTTTAGTAGAGACAGGGGTTCACCATGTTGGCCAGGCTGGTCTCGAACTCCTGACCTCAAGTGATCCGCCCGCCTCGACTTCCCAAAATGCTGGGATTACAGGTGTGAGCCACCACGTCCAGCCCAACTATACATACTTTTGCTGTCGGGAAACCACCAGAAGTCAGCAGTGTCAAGTTCCCCAAGGCATTCATCACACGCTCAGTGCTTTCCTGGCTTTTGCCGCAGCGGGAGGTGACATGAGCAAGGTGGGTGACACGAAGCTCCTCCACAGCTATGGGAGGCACTCGGACCACCCCGAATTCGTGACCAGCGCTCTAGCTCTGCCAGTGCCTTCCAGCCTTGCCCAGCCATCCCGGGAGCATACTGTGCTCCTTTCAATGAAAACAACGTGTGGAACAGGTACCACATTTGTAGCAGTTGTTGATGGAAATCTGTTAGTGACAAAGGGCTTAGACACAGGAGAAGCCACCCACATCAGAACCCCCCGGGGAGCTCATTAAAAGGCAGACTCCCAGCACTACCCGGACCTGGGGACAGCAGCCATGACTCTGCAGGGCAGAGCCTGAGGCCTCGGTGAGTGATGCTCACGGCTGAGTCCCTCATGTCAGGCAAACCAAGCTCCTGGGAGGCCACACCTGGCACTGTGCCATGGAGAAGGGCACCCCGAGGCCTGCAGGTGGAGAGCGCTGACTCCAAGGTCAGTGTTTAGGGTGACTTAGGAAGGAAGGAGTGTTCCAATAAAAGCTGGCCCTGTGCTGGGCCTAGATTAAGCAGAGACTGCGAGAGATCAGGACTGATGCTGTAGCTCAGGGTCTGCTTATTTAAAAACCTTCTCACGCAGGTGCAGTGGTCACACCTGTAATCCCGGTACTTTGGGAGGCAGAGGCGGGTGGATCACCTGAGGTCAGGAGTTCGAGACCAGCCTGGCTAACATGGTGAAACCCCATCTCTACTTAAAATGCAAAAATTAGCTGGGCATGGTGCCACATGCCTATAATCCCAGCTACTTGGGAGGCTGGGGCAGGAGAATCGCTGGAACCTGGAGGTAGAGGTTGCAGTGAGCCGAGATTGTGCCATTGTACTCCAGCCTGGGCAATAGAGTGAGATTCTGTCTCAAAATAAAATAAAACAAAACAAAACAAAAACCTTGATCACTGTGTGTTATTTTACAACATTATTTGGTGATAGGATTTAAGCTGCTTTTAAAAAATATTTGGAAGACATCTTTTTTTTTTTTTTAATTGAAGTCTGGAAATCTTACAGGACAGGCAGACATCTCAGAAACATTCTTTACCAATTTCTGTCTGCAACGAGTTGAGGCCCCCACCACCACCCAGTGGCAGCACTGGGACCCTGCCCTCATTCGGCATTTACTGTGAACCTCTGGGGCAGGCGCTGGGCTGGTGGGGGGCAGAGTGAATGGGACAGACACAGCCCACCTTTCACGGAGCCCACCTTGGCTTGTCACGTCAACCATATAGCAACCCCTTGTGAGTGAGCTTATACAACCCTAACATAGACAATGCCTCAGGTAACACCACAGCTCAACAAACAGGCAAAATGACACACACGTCTTGCTGCCTTTATTTCCAGGAATTAGTGGTGGGCCCTTGGAAAACCACTACAGACTGAAGCAATTTCACTTCCACTGGGGAGCAGTGAACGAGGCGGGCTCGGAGCACACAGTGGACGGCCACGCGTACCCCGCCGAGGTTTGTAGATGTGGCCTAACGGCACGTATCTATACACTTTCTATGTCTCTGGCTGTATAGTGGGGGGTGAACAAGTCATGCCCGCTGCTCAGATGTGAAGGATCTCCTGGGACCTGGGACTGTCAGTGCTCAAACCAGAACAGTCGGCCACCCCACCCATTTACTCACACCCTGCTCTTATGAAGAAGGCACTGTAAGCACTCTGATTCAACGCAAGAAGAGACTGAGGTTCTGAATGGTTATGGAACTTGCCAAAGTCAGACAGCTGGGATTCAAGGTCAGAGCCTGAGCTCTTTGCCGTGCTTCACTCAGCTGTGTGCTTGCAGCTGTAGGGACTAGCAGATCCACAAGGCCCTCTGCTGAGAAGCTGAACATCTTTGCACATCTTTGCAGTAGAGATCATCTTCTTTTGTTTGTTTGTTTTTTGTTTTTTGTGTTTTTTTGGAAACAGGATTCTCTCTGTCACCCAGGCTGGAGTGCATTGGTGCCATCTTGGCTCACCACAACTTCCGTCTCCCAGGCTCAAGCCATTCTCCTGCCTCAGCCTCCCGAGTAGCTGGGATTACAGGTGCGTGCCACCAGGCCCTGCTAGTTTTTGTATTTTTAGCAGAGATGGAGTTTCGCCATGTTGGCCAGGCTGGTCTCAAACTCCTGACCTCAAGTGATCCACCTGCCTCAGCCTCCCAAGGTGCTGGGATGACAGGCGTGAGCCACCGCACTGGCCGAGATCATCTTCTTAAAGCAGTCTTATTTTCAACATTCCAAAGTGGGAGTCAGTAGAGAAAATGAGTGTGGGTCAATGTTGGGAATTGGTTTTTGTAATTTTTCTGGGTGATAAAAACCACCATTTTGGTGATGCCTTATAGATTTCCCTAAATATTTTATTATGAAATTTTTGCAACATACAAAAAAATGAAAAGAAATGAACGAGAAGAATCCACGCGTTTGACGTCTCAGTCCCGTGATGATCATTTTTGCCATATTCACTTTATCACACCTCTGCTCACCCGCCCACCTGACTTTCTGATGCTTTTTCA